ACTTACGAACGTGAATCTTACTACAATTCACATCGTTCTCTTCGCAAGCGAACAACCAAACGTCATCCCCCGCTGTCAAGCTGATCGCTGCAACAAACCCTATCGATACGTCTTGCAACGCGTTACACACACACACACACACACACACACACACACAGGATGGACAAAAAAAAGGGTTCATAGTTTTCCAAGGTATACAGTACTCGCCGAAAAGTGAAAATAAATAAATCATTCGAAGTTATAAACAAGTTTCTGTTTCGGTTGAAGCTACCAACTTTGTCGCTTCGAGGGCTATCTTATCGTGTGTAAAATACTGGATTATTGTCTTTCTGCTCTCTACATGTCTTGTTGTTGTTGTTGTTGTTATTGTTGTTATTAGTATCGTTCTTGTTGTTATTATTGTTATCATTATTATTGTTATTATTGTTTTTGTCATCATTTTTATTATCATTGATATTATCTTTATTGTTATCATTGATATTATCATTGATATAATCGTTGTCATTATTGTTGTTGTTGTTGTTTTTGTTGTCTTGTTATGAGGCATAGCATTAGAAGAGGAAAATGTTTTCCGACGAAACATATAAGCTTCGTTGTTAATAACCGACCAACTGATGTACGTATTGAATTTATATCTTGAATTAGATATAATTCAGTATACTTTTTCAGTACACTTCAACAGAAGATTTGCACGCGTTAATTCTTTTTATATAACAAGAATGGAATCAAATAAAAACCGTCTAAAAGATGATTTTTTTCAGTATGTACGCGTGAAATTATATACGCATCCAGATTGATTTTCACGCAATGGAAACAACAAGTCGCGCAAGAGATCATTTAGAAATGATGTAAAAAAGAAACTAGTCTCGAAATATACTCTAAAATGTCTAAACTTTACCAAAATACGTCTTAGCTTCTGCAAAAATAATTTAATTTTGTGTAAGAAAAATTGCGATTGCTTTTCTCGTCGAGAATACTCGTTATTGCACAAAAAATTGTCATTTCTTCGTGACGAGTGTATTCGCAGCTGAAAGGAAGTTGAAATGTCTTTGAAGATTTTACAGGCTTGCCTTGGCAAGTGCAGCTTACTTCCAAATTCTATAAGAAAAGAAAGAAAAAAAAAATCGTGCAAAATAGAGATGAAAAAGAAAAAGAGATGTGTATGAATACTGAGAAAGGGATGAAATAAATAAATCAACAGCAGCATACGTATCCTTAATTCACAGGGGCGCAAGATAAATCGACGATCGTTTGGGAAATGCGGGACGCATAGATCAGCTAATGCGTAAACGCTCGTGCGGCATTACGAGGAAGCTGAAAAAGCCAAGGGACCGGCTATCGTATTTAACGTCATCATCGGTCACCGTCGCGGCACTAATACATCAGGTGTTTATCTCGCTGTTTCGTTCATATTTCCCCTGATTTACGCGTCTTCCGCGACTGAATCGATAAGCGGCTCCGTCCACGGGGGCATCAATTCTCCTCTCGCGGCACCGCGACGGCATTCAATGTAAACGCGGAAACGGCCGGCAAATATCTCTTCCTTAATAAGTCTGGCTAACAGAGTTTGCATGTTTTCGCGGCTGCGAGCGCGGATCGACAGCGGAACCGGCTGCCTCTGTCGTTCTGGAGGAGGTCTGCAAGCGGCGAGATTCAATCTGCGCGATGACGCGATAGCGCGACGAGGCGTGGGAGCGAGTCGAAGCTAATCTTTCGAGTTGCGAGTTGGCTCGTTGGTTCGAGGAGAAGCGCGTGTCCCCGCGGCCGGTTCCCTCTTCGGGAGGGAAACCCGTCAAGAGGGAAAGTTCGTCGGAGCGTGGCCCGTTGCCAGCCTCGACGCGAGGCAAAAAATCGCTAAAGAATATTAAACGGTCCTGCCGGCTGTTCATTGTAAGAAGAGAGCGATTACAGAACACAGGCCTGAGTACCCTTTCTCTCGGATCGCCGAAGCTTCCTCGTCGAATTGTTACTTGGTACTCCTTCTTATCTGCCATTCTCTCCCCGCTGAGTTTCAACTCTCTGTCTGTTTGCTATCTTATTAACTCGGAGCTGCAGGTGGTAGACATTCAGCACGTTCGATTTCGAAAGAAGAAAAGGAGTGTGAGATCTTGCTCTTCTCCGCCCCTCGATACAACGAAAATCTAATTGCGAGATACGTCTGTCAGAGGGTGTTGAATCGCGGACAGACTCGGTTTCGTGTCTGTACCGACAAACTTCATCTCGCATCAACAGACGCGTTGAAATGGGACGTTACCCGTAGTTACAGGATCGGTTCGACTGTATTATTTCATACTGTTGCATGCCACTACTTCGATTCGATTCGAATTTCTATCCAACCGCAATTCTAACTGCCTTCGATTGCCCTGACCTAGATACTAATAATATTTAACGATCTGTATCAACTGTTCTTAAAGGACGCTAAACATAACAGATGAAAAAAAAGTCATAAATATTCTAAATTTAGACAATAGATTCTTCATGCTGATAAGAAGCCTAACGTCTCTCTGATTTATTAATTCTGTATACGTTTATCGAAGCCATCAAGATTTCAACGGAGGTTTAGGTTAGGAATCTGTCGGTAAAACGCGCGTTCGGCGCAGCGCCAGTACGCAACATTCGTTCTGCGCATGCCCAGCTTCCGTTTACCGAATCTACCTACCGCGCTCCACGAGCCACTTTCCCCTTTCCCGAAACCGTTCGCTCGCCGTCGAACGAGACAACTTCGATTAAAACGTCAGCCTTGGCTCGGCATAGAGTAACGAGCAGCAAGCAAGCAACGTTCTCGATCGCTGGTGCGGCGTGCCTTCCTTCCGAGAGCCGATAATACCGCGCTGTGACACGTGAAATCGACGCGGTCCGTGGTGGGGATACGTGTGTGCTGCGCGAGTCCGCGCCGCTAAATCACGTGTCCGCCGGAACTGTGGTCGAGAGACGCGCGTGTACGCGACGTTTACGCGGAAACCCGTTAAGAAACGGCCAGTCCTCTCGGTAACGAGAAGTTACCGATCGTCAATGCAACGAGGAGGCTTTATAAATAGGTACGCCGCCGCCGTTGCGCAACCACTCTCGCCAAAAAGGTGCACACGGCCGTGGATAATTGCGCAACAATGCTCGACGAGACAATGAAATATCGTGTAATCGCGTACCCTCCGAGAGGAGCTGCCGGTGTTGCGTACACCGGCATCTCCTTCATCTTTTCACCGGTGTCGTCGCGTCTTTGCCTGGCACACGCTCCACGCAAACCGTTTCCTGAACTCGCGAACGGTACGGTGAACCAGGAACGCGCGTGTAGAATGTTTTAAGGGCCACGGCCTTTCGGTATCGCGAGGTAATTGAAACGTGAAACTAGGAAGAGATCGGAGATCTTATCGCGACCGTTGAAGATGGTAACTTTTAGTGCGAAACTTCGATGCGGGATTAAGAAAATCTGTCGTTCTTGTTATTGAAGTATTACGGTGGATATCATCATCGCGGCACGCGACAGCTTATTATAATCGTTTTGCAATAATTTACGAAACTCTGATCGCGTCGAGTGAAACACCTGCAGCAGCTCCAAATTTAGCGACCATGCAAACTGCGAGAGAATTCCTCGCAGATCAACAGGCGACTTGATGCGCTTTATCGGCCAATCTCAACTGAGCCTGAACATTTTCCACCGCGTGCATCCAGTTTACGCGCGGAGGCATGAAATCTTCACAGCCAAACAGGCGGCTGCACAACCGTGCTCCCGTACTTTTAACGAGCCCGCGTCGTAAAACCTTTCGCCGGCGTCGACCTGCGAGGAGAACGATCCTCGAAACGTCGAGTGGTTAAGCCAAGTGTGACGAGCCAAACAACGAACGAGAAGAGAAAACGAAGAAAAAGGCCTGGCAAACGCCTGTCGACGTGAACGATCTTACACACACGTGATTCGCGCGTGGAATTAATTCCACGGGGTCGAACGGGTTCTCTCTCTCTC